GATAGTTTAAAATAAATGAGTAACGTAGTAAAATGCAAAATTCACAACAAGTTTCTACTTCATGTTTATCCACTCATGAATATTTTAAAAAATCTTTGATCCAGACAGAATACCCAGAGTTTGGACTCGTTAGTTCACATAGAATACCAAAATTTTGGACGAAAGAGGAAAATCTAAAATTTTATCACAATACTAGTAAAATCACAAAAATAATAACTATTTTTCTTTTGTTGTCAGCAATAATAAGTTTGTCCCGTTTCTAGTGATTAAGCTTTTAGTCGAGGTGATTATGACATTACCTTCCCGGAAGCGACGTAAAACGAATGTAATCATGGCCTTGGCTGCTCCCGTCTCGGCCATGCACTTTCTGTTCTTTTCACTCTCGCTGGTAAGTTCATCCATTTTCTTCAAAGAGTTTGCATACAAAACAGGATTTTCGAGATCCCGAATGAGTTTAACAACGTTGGATTTGTTGATGGGAGATTTCGGGGTCGGTATTCGATCAATTCCACTATCATTGGCAATGCACCATGATTGGATCAGCCTGCTGAGCATGTGATTTGGTGTCAAGTCTGAGTCTCTATGCAAAGGCTGCTTTGTTATTGGGCAGGTTGTGCTTGGCTGAGCCGCCGCTGACAACCACTGCTCGATGCTTTCCCGATCATATGTGATACCGGTAACGGTGGTGACTGGATCTTTCATGATCTGAAGGGATATGGGACAGAGAAAATACTGAGGTATCTCAATTTCATCCATGCTTAATTTGAAAGCTCAAAATGCTAAGCCAAAAAGATAAGGAAACTTATACACTTTACATAAGAAGAAATTGCACCACTAATCTCTAATCTATTGTCTCATTAGCAAGTTAGTCAGTAAATATTGAATAATGTCAAATTAGTCCGCTATAGTTTACTATAGTTATTAAAGAACTTTATGGATTATTGTTTCTCTTGGTTGGTAATTTAACATATAAAAACTAGAAGGTCGAAAATTTTCCAATCCTCTAAATCCAATTTTATTATACAGTTTTGAATTACTGGCGATTTTGATGATCAAATGAGTATTTTGTATTCTTCTAGAATCGTGAGACCACGATCTCAAATAAATATTCAATATCATTGCAGATACAATGAATATCGATTGTCAGTCGTCGAATTCATAAAAATTAACGAACATTGACTGTGTTCTTCAATCTATGTCTCTCTCACTTGAGTAACCCTAGTGATGGCAATTGGGCGGGTTCGGGGCAGGGCACCCTCACCCCACCCTGCCCCGCCACGCCACTCCCCTTCCCCGCCCCGCTCCCCACCCCGCTCCCCACCCCGCCTTAGACGGGCGGGGCGGGGACTTGCCCCATTTCCTGCCCCAT